GGGCACTGGTGGAGGGATGGGTACTCGATCATTGTATAACTGAAACGCAAGCACAAAAATTTGTAAGTCTACAACTGTACCTCATGGTGTTTCACTAATAAAAAAATAATAATTTAATAAAAATAATTTTATAGGGCTGGAGCTATAACACAGTGGGTAGGGCGTTTGCCTTGCAAGTGGCTGACCCGGATTCGATCCCCGGCATCCCAAATGGTCCCCTGAGAACAGCCAGGAGTAATTCCTGAGTGCAGAGCCAGGAGGAACCCTTATGCATTGCCGAGTGTGACCCAAAAAGCAAAATAAATAAATAAATAAATAAAAATGAAATAAAAAGAACATACACACACAAGGCTCACCCTGTACGAACAAGGCAGCAGCCTCTTACACAAGGGCCTGATGGCCCCAGGGTGAGTCGCAACAACCTCCACACACCTTGTTCTAAGGAAATCTCTTTTGATCACTTTTAGAGAATGAATCATAACCAGCAACACAAAATAAATCGTTTCGGGACTGCTGTCGGGCAGCCTTGGTTGGTGGCTGGGAAAATAGGAAATAATGGTGGTGGGGAGGCGTAACGGGGGTGGGATTGGTTGGAATAAGAAATGCAATAAATCACTGGAACAATTTTACAAAAATAAAATTAAACTTGAAAAAAGAAAAGAAAACACGGCCAGTGAGGCAGCGCACAGCTGGGCCACCCTGCGGCCCGAACTCAGCAGGGAACAGAGTGGAGACAAGAAGTAACTGCTGAGTAACTGCCGACTGGGCACCTGGGCAGAGCAAAGGGCCCCGCAGAGCATGGCCTGGCTCAGGGGGAGGGGAGCACAGCTTCTGAGAGCCTCCGGAGGCCTGGACAGTGAGTGACCACAGAGCAGAACTTCTTGGTCCTTTCCCAGCTGCGGTCTGCAGTGCTCCATGGCCTATGGCAGGGGCCACTGTTGTGAAAGCAGACCTTGGCCACTGACCGGCAGGACGGCGCTGCCCCACAGACCGAGGGCTGACCCCGTCCTGGAACCTCGCTGACGGCGGCACAGGACCCTCCCCGCCAGGAGGTCCGGACATGAGTCTCAGCCCTGACTCCCAATCCTAAAACACTGGGCAGGAATGTGTCCTGGCTCCCAGCTGTGTCACAGGTCACGGCGATCTGTCCAGTGGCTTTGAGGTGACGGGGACCAGCACTCGGGAGCTGGGGTTTCTCGGAAAGGGTGTCCTGAGGAACACACGAGGCCGCACGTCTGGTCAGGTCTCAGGGCAGCTGCCCAGCACCCCATGAGCACTGCACTCTCTGCTCTCACAGCACCAACAGATGATAAGATGAACAAAACCGTTCCGAAAATCAAATTGACAACCGTGGTTCTTCTGAGTGTAATTGGACTATTGGTCTCCCATCTCGAGCATTCTCTGGGGGCTGGAGGGAGGCATAGTGGGGCAGACATTTGCTTGCCAGGAGGGACCCTGAGCCAGGGGGAAGCCCAGGGCACTGCCGGGTGTGTGTCCCCGACAACAACAAGAGGACATTCTCCACTGACACCTTGAAATACTGTGACTGAAAAAGCTTAAAACCTTTACAAATGATGCGCTGCTCGAGTCACACACACTTGGGTCAAAGTCCCACCTACGGCAGTGGACAAGGGGTTTCATCTGCCTACATACATGTGTGCACAGAGACCACCCACAGTCAGACATACATACAGGTTTCACGTGTACTCAGATCACACACTCCGTCCTGCAATACAGATCATGTAAACACACATCGAGACGCACGGATCGTGTAAACACAGATCAGGCATACACACATATACACACTCGGAATACACACGCAGATGACATATGTCACAGACACAGATCACACGCACGCAAAGACACGCACACAGAGGTCATTCTAAGCTCACACCCCATCATGCACAAACACGGGTGAACACAAAGACCGCACATGTGCACACTTGGGTGTGCCCGCACGTTCAAAGCCAAGGAGCTGGAACTATCCACCTGTCGTCTGCCCTCCTCCCCGCCCCTCCCACCGCTTCCTGGTGCCCCGCGCTGTGGGTTTCGGGCTGGGGTGTGCAGAGGTGGAATCAACTCCTGGGGCTGAATCAGCCGCCAGTTCTCCGGGAGGATCCCCCGCTTTGAGGAATAGAGGAAAGTCCGCAGCCCAGGGGGAGTGAGAACCACAGTGATGTTCTCTGCCCGGAAAGCCGGCCCTAAATAGCGCAGCGCTCCTGGACGGAAACCAGGCTCCTATTTAGAAGCGCCTCCGACTCGCCCCTCCCCGGCCACAGGTGCCTCCCACTCCCGCACGGGCGGCCTTTTACGTAAGCCGCTCCCGGCTGATCTTTCATTCAGCACCCTCGTAGGAGGCACGTGGGCAGGAAACGGAGCTTCCAGGAGGGGCTGCCAGGGACGGCAGGAGCCTCAGCACGCTCCCCCGCCCAGCCCCACCTCAGGACTCTCCAGGGTCTGCCCAGACACCCGCCAAGTGCCAGGCTCTCCCGGAGCCCCACAGGCTGTTCTCTGGCCCACCACCCCCACTCCTGGACACAGTCCCCCCTGCTTGCTGACAGTGACACTGTGCCATCGGTCACTCCGGAACACAGACGCCAAGCCATGTGATGGTCACTCCAGAACAGACACGCCAATCCACATGATCGATCACCTCGGAACACAGATATCAATCACGTGATTGATCACTCCAGAAGGTAGACGCCAATCCACCTATCAATCATCTCCATCACTGAGGTCCAGCCAGTTGCCTTGGGAACCAATGCATTAATGAGAGGGGCACACTGGCATAGGTGTTGGGTGCAGGGCCACTGGCCCGACAGCCCACCCAGGCAGGAAGGGACAGCCTGGGCAGAGCCGAGCCAGCACCGAGGACAGCGTGAGCGGGGCAGGGGGAACAGAGCTGGATGAGCCTTCTGGGGCAGCTGCAGGTGCTGAGGGACCGGAGACCACAGCCCAGCCTGAGGGGCAAGGGACAGCAGGTCCAGCTCCTCAGAGACCTTTGTGCCCTGGACGCCAGGAGCCACTCATTCCCCAGACCCCACCAGCTGCCCCTCGCACTGACGTGGGCCAGAGAGAGGCCAGGCCAAGGAGAGCAGCGGAAGGACACACTCCAGGAAGGTCCCTGTGGCTGACGGTTCCCACATGAGGCAGGGTCGGGCACCACGAGATCAGACCGCACAGGCACCTGAATTTGGGGGGTCTCTGGCATGCAGCTGCTCAATCCCCGCCTGTCTAAGGATGCTCCTGCCGTGTGCCTGTGGGTCACAGAGGAGACGTCCCCAGATGCCTGCTGCCAGGACAATGACCTAGGCCTGCCTGGAGAGCGTGTCCCAATATTCACTCCAACCTCGAGCTAAAGCGGCAGCCTTGGGAGCGAAAGAGCCTGGACGTCCCAAGCGGCATCTGCGGGACCAGGCTGCCTTCACTTCTGTGAAGTGCCACACGTGAGCCCCCCACAGAAGATACAGCTAATGGCACCACGGCCGAGCTTAGGGGTCAGACCCGGCACAAACCCAAACAGCGCCTGTCCCTCTGGCTCCAGACACACAACCCGGGGCAGGAACCAAACCCTAGCAGCCTGCCAGGACTGGAACCACGGCCACGGGGTGACGCTTTACCCCTGACTGAACTCTTGGCTCAAGGACCATCACAGGCTATGTCCTGCAGCCACTGCGGGAGCAGGGCAGGGCCTGGGCACAAATCTCGGTGACGTCCAAGTCGAAGGGGAGGACGCTGCCACCAACACGTATGTCCGTGTGTGACAGCGAGTCTCTTCTCATCCTGGTTTCCCTCCTGTCTGTCATCCAACTCCAGCTTCCAGGGTCAAGTGTACCCAGGTCAGAGTCTCCCCAGCTGAACCGCCCAGCTCAGGCAGGTCCAAAGCCCCTGAGCCCACAGCCCTGACCCGCAGTGGCCTGGCCCCTGCGTCAGGGGCTGGCGCCGTTGCAGCAGAAGACGACGGCGGCTGTCACTGGGCCCTAGCGGGGGTCTTGGGAAGCAGAGAGCAGGGGCCCAGTTCTCTTCGACCCCTGGAGCAAAGACCCTCCTGGAGTCCTGGGGGGGTCCCTCCCCGCTCACTCAGCGCCCCTCGCAATGGCTGGGAAGCACGTCCAAGCCCCCAACCCCCAGCATGGCCTGTCTGCAGCGACCCACTGCTCGGCAGAGAAACTTCTCTCAAGGACTCTCAGGGCTTCTGGCTCCTAAGAAACACTCTGGGCAAGCCCCTTCCCCAGCCAAGACCCTCCAGCCTCACCCTGGCCCCGGCAAAGAGCAGGGGGTTATCGAAAGTAACTTCCCAACACTGGAGAGCACCGTCCACCCCTCCCCGAGTCCAGCCACGGAGGGTACTGTCCACTTTTCAGCCTGCACGGCAATCCCTGAGGTCAGCAGAGCCCAGAGGGATGGGGGCAGGAGGTGTGCTGGACCCGGGAAGGCCTCCCACAAGCCTCTCTCGCTGCCCCACAAACTTCCCAGCTGCCGGGCAGGGAACTGCAGGAGCCGCTGCTGCGGGGAGCCGCAGGAGCTGAGCTTGGACCAGAACCAGGCGAGTGCCCTGCGCGGTGCAGAGCCGGGCTGGCCAGCTCCCTGCAGCCGCTCCCAGCCCGAGGGGCTCCCTCCCGCTCACTGCCCTGGCCGACCCCGCCCTCCCACCCATCCCTGCACCATGCAATCCCCCCCACGCCCAGCCCGCCCATCCTGCATACTCCTGCACCACCACACGCTGTCCAGCCAGACACTCCTGCACCACGTGCCCTGCGCACGCTGCGAGCACAGTGCCCGCCACAGCTCAGCCCACACGCTGCCCAGCCCGACACTGCCCAGCTGCACAGTGCCCAGCCGCACAGCGCCCAGCAGGACAGTGTCCTCCCGCACAGCGCCCGGCCGGACAGTGTCCACCCGCACAGCGCCCGGCCGGACAGTGCTCATCCTGCCGGTGCCCACCCGCACGGCGCCCAGCCCGACAGCGCCCACCCGCCCCGCGCCCCGCGCGCGCGCACCGATATTTCATGCCAGTCTGCTTGGCCGTGGACTCCTTGAGAGAAATGTGGTGCTGCGGGGTGAAGGTGCCCAGGCTGCGCGCGATGATGGCCACGGTGCGGAACTTGGCGCGGGCGGCGCTGACGGGGGCCGAGCCCTGCTTGTTCAGCAGCCGCTCCTCGCCATTGCGGCTCTTGAGGTTGTGCTCGGTGCAGGCGATGGAGACTTGCATCGTCCCGGGCCCCTGCCGAGCCGCCTGCAGCCGCTCTGAGCCGCGGGCGCGCGGGCGCGCGGGGACGGGCGCGGCGCGGGGACGGGCGCGCGGACGCGCGGGGACGGGCGCGGGTTCGGGGCGGGGACGGCGCGGGGCCGGGGCGGGGCCGGGGCGGGGACGGGGACGGGCGCGGGGACGGGGATGGGGACGGGCTCGGGGACCGACCGGGCCGGGGGCGCGGACGGGGACTAGGACGGGGACCGGAATGGGTTGCGCGCCCCGCCCGCCAGCCAGCGGCTGGGCCCGAGGCAGCGCTGCCCACCGGTCGCCGCAGAGCCGACGCTCCACCCCCGCCGCGGAGGGGCCCCGAGCCCGCCAGGTGTGGCCCCCGAAAAGCAGAAACTCTGGCTGGAGCCTCTGGGGGAGGCCACCGGGAAGGCGCAGGAGCGCGCGTGTCTGCCAAGTCCCGTTCATTCCTGGGGCTCCCACTGCAAAGCCCAAAGCGACTAGACTTGTGGGTGTCCAGGGCCACAAGGGCGAGGCGCAGGGTGGCCTTCACCGGGAAGGGCAGCTTCTGGGATCCACGGGGTGTGCCTCAGGGCAAAAGCTGGGGGTCTGCAGACTCTGTCTGGGACCTGGAGAGCCCCCAGGGGCTGGTCCCTCTGAAGCCCTGTCCACCCAGCAATTGCCAGAGGTTTGCGGTGACCATTAGGCAGGGGGCTGGATATCTGCCCATGACGGGCTGTCAGGGGACAGAGGGTGTTCTAGCTGAGTCCCCAGAGCTGTAGGGGCAGCTGCAGCCCTCCAAGTCCCCCCAACCACCCACAGTTCCAGGCAGCGCTGTGTCCGCGGGGCTGGCCAGGGTGGGCTGACCCATCGTGGATATGTCCTGGTGTGGGGCTGACCAGGTGTGGGTAAGCCATGCCGTGGGCATGGGGGTGAGTGGCCTCTGTGGGACTGTGGGACTATGGTCTGTCCATGAGCCTAGCGTCCACCCGTTAGCACATCCGGGCCCCTGGGGTGCGCAAGGTAGGCGAGGGAAGCGGCACCTCCTTCCAGCCCAGCGCCCCTCTTGGGAGCCGGGACAGCCCCACAGCTGTGAGAACAGTGGCCGGCAGGAAGCAAGTCACCAGAGCTGTTTCCTGGTGGGGGCGGGGGGGAAGCTGGCTCATCGGGATGGTCAGTGCATCAGGAAAACAGGCAACGTGAGGAGAGGAAGAAGTGGGAGGACTAGGAGAAGCGGCTCCCCAGCAGGGGACTTGCGAGGAAGGGTGGCTGCTGCGGCTGCGGGCCAGCAGGGAGCTGCAGGGACCTGGCTGGGTGGGCTGGCAGGCCTGAGCCCTGTACCCCGTACCCCAGCCTTGTGGGGTACCCGATGCTCAGAGGTGGGGGAGGGGGAGGAGAGGAAGGGGGAGGAGGAGGGGGGAGGGGAAGGGGTGGGGGAGTAGGGAGGCAGGAGGGAGAGGGAGGAGGGGGAGGATGCCAAATTCTTGGATAAACTCGATTCCTTCAAAGGAAGAGACCCTGCCACTTGCCCACAGCCAGCGCCGCCGGGGAGAGCCGAGATGCAGCCATGAGGCCCCAGGGAAGACCCCCTGCCACAGGATGCACCTCCAGCTTCCCCAGGAATCCTGTGGGATGCCCGAGCAGCTGAGTCCGGACACTCGTGCCGGGGCTTTGGGCGTGGAGCACAGAGAGTGGATCTGGAGAGTCCCTGGCTGCTTTCCAGGGTCGGGAGACTCCTGAGCACACATGCGGTGGAGGTGGAGATGTAGGTGCAGAGATACCCACGAGATCCAGTTACACAGGGGCAGGGGAGGGTGGGGGCGGCAGGAGGAGATGCAGATGATGCAGGTGCAGAAGCACAGTGGAAGATTGGAAGATGAGCAGGTGACACAGGTGCCGACAGTGGCACGGGGCTGACCATGTTGCAGGCCCTGTGGGATCCTGAGCCGCAGCCGCTCCGGGCGAGACTGAGGGGCCGAGAGTCCACACAGAGGGGCTGCTCTGTGACAAACGGTGACAGCCGAGACATGGCCACAGGCCCCACAGGGACGCTCCCGGAGGGGACACGGGCTGACCCAGCGGGAACACCATCCACTAGCCTCTGAAGTCTCACCCCTGGGAGAGCGTGGCAATGCGGGGGGTGACATTCAGGTGGGCGTGACCAGACGCAGGGGCCTGTGTTCTCCGCCCAAGGAAAGGTCCAGGTGCTCCAGCGACACCAGCCCTTTCCCCCAAGCCCAGGAACAGTGGCTGCAGGTCCCGGGGTTTTACCTGGGCGGTGGACGCAGCCCCAGGCCCTTGCTGGTGGGCACAGAGGCCACATCACAGGCTGTCACGGACCCCACGGTCCACTGCCTGAAGCCCACGGAGGGTCCAGGGACGCAGAGGGGAGCAGGCACCTCGCAGTCACTGTGGTGGTCCCTGAGGTCCCCCCGAAGGGGCAGGACCCCGAGTGCTCGGAGCTGCTGGGAGCCTGGCTTGGTCTACTGCTCTGTCCAGGCTGGGAGCAGAGGTACCAGGCCTTCTGGGGGAGGAAGGGGGGAGGGGGGAGGGGAAGCGCTGACCACCGCAGCCCTGGGAGCTCAGAGCCAAGCCCCACCTGCGTCTCTGCATGTCATCATGTCCCAGTTGAACCGTGTCCCAACAGGCTCCTGCCATCCCGGGGCCCTGCAGGGGCTGAGGCCTCCTCAGGAGTGAGGAGAGACGGGCAGGGGGTGAGGGGCGGTTCTCCACCGTCCCTGCCTTCCTCGGGTGTTGAGTTTCAGCTGGGCTCTTTGTTTATCCCGAACCACACCCACAGCACAGGGCTCAGGACCACTGGGGTGCTGGGGTGTAACCCCGTTGGCGGGTGCAAGGCCGGTGTCCTCCCGCTGCGCCCCTCCGAGCCCCCCCCCCCCCCCCGTTCCCGCCAGACGCTGTGGCTGAGTCCAGCTGGGCTCACGTCACCCGCATGCACGGCTGCTGCCCGGATACCGACCAGACACTTGGAACAAAGGAATCCCGGAGCCTCACACAGGGGTGCGGAGGCGCCTCCCTCCGGGTGCTAGTTCCTTGTGATTAAGGCTGAAGCAGCAGGGTGCGCACGTGCTGCTTGTCAGCAGTTCGGACACCTGGGCCGGCAGAGCGTCCGAGATCCCGACCATGGGCAGCCGCCTGGAAGCCGCCTGGAGCCACTGCTGCGCCCGAAGCCCAGAGACTGCGTGAGACGCAAGCGTGGGCTCAGCTCCCCAGGCGTCGGCCCCTGTCCCCAGGGAGCATCCTAGGGAGCCCCCGGCCACCGTTCCATACAGATGCCCCCCACGCCTCTGCGCAGCCAACAGGCAGCTTTACCCAACACTGCAGCAGCACCCTCAGCCCCGACTCCTGAGACCCACGTGCACAGACACGCCAACACGCCCTGTCACCCCCGGGAGGGCAGCATGGAAATGGGCAGGAGGGCTACTGCTGTGGGCACGGGAGGGACACAAGCGTCCACCTGCCCCGGCAGAGCTGAGAGCAGGCTCGGGTCGCAGACGGGCTTCCATAGCAGCCCCCAGCCAGGCGACCTGAGGAGAATGAGCCCAGGAAGCCTTTGTGCACGCAGGGCAGGGCGCTGTCAGTGCTGGTCTCCTGGGGTACGGGCCCATAGCCCCCCAAAGGGTCCTGAGCCCCCGGAGGAATGACTTGAGCACAGAGCCAGGAGTCAGCCCTGAGCACAGAGCCAGGAGTGACCCTGAGCACAGAGCCGGGAGTCAGCCCTGAGCACAGAGCCAGGAGTGACCCGAGCACAGAGCCAGGAGTGGCCCAAGAATGAAAGAAGAGGGCGATGGCACAGCAGGTAGGGCATTGCCTTGCACGCAGACGACCGGGTTCGATTCCTCCATCCCTATCGGAGAGCCCAGCAAGCTACTGAGAGTATCCCGCCCACACGGCAGAGCCTGGCAAGCTCCCCATGGCGTATTCGATATGCCAAAAACAGTAACAATGGAGACATTACTGGTGCCCACCCGAGCAAATCGATGAACAATGGGAGGACAGTGACAGTATTTTCCTAATGAACAAGTGAAAATACTTAACAGAAAGCAATCGAAGAAGAACAAGGAACGAAAGGCAGGGGAAAATGCGACGTGGTAAACTGAAGCAAACATGCCAATTGATACTCTGTCCAGGAATGTTCCAGATGCCTGACACAAGGGCAAAGGTTACCAGATTGGAGCTAGGACAGCAAGAGCTGACCTGATGGCATCTGTGGAGACACACGGGGCTCGGGAGAGGTGAGTGGAGGCGGCATGCCGAGGGCGCCCTCACCCGAAGTGTGTGATGACCGCACTGGCCACCCTCAGAGGACGCTCGGCAGGCTCGGGCGACCGTCCGGGACATCACGCCTTTTTCTTTCTCTTTTTCCTTCAGGTTTTTGGGTCACTCGACTGTGCTCAGAAATTACTCCTGGCTCTGCATTCAGGAATCCCCCTGGCCAGACTCGGGGGACCCTATGGGACGCCAGGATCGGACCCGGGTCGGCTGGAGCAAGGCAAGCGCCTCCCCGCTGTGCTATCGCTCCGGGCCCCAAAAGAGGCCGATTTCATAAAAATAAAGTGGCACGTTGGCGAGTCAGTACTGAACACAGGAAAGTCTAAGCAGCACCGCACTCAGACCCCCAGAACCACAGGGCCCGGCTCTGGGGGGGAAAGTCACCATCCCACACCGAGCGGCCATCAGGTGCTGCCTCCATCACGGACAGGACAAATGGCACCAACCCCAACCAGCCAAAGACACAGGCGAGCCTAGCCAGACTCGGCAGACGTCTGAGGGACCTGAGCCCACCCCCCTCTCCCGCCACCTCTAATGTCTCCCAGACCCACATAGCCGTATTTAAAAGAATTGAAATCACATGAAAAGGGTTTTCCGGTGCAGTGGAATTAAATCAGAAATCAAACCCATGAAGAAAAATCCCCAATTTGTTTGAAATTCGACGGCATTCCCTCACATAATAACTCTCTTGAAGAGAAATAATGGGGGAGGGAGACTCAAAACTATTTTCATTGAACTGAAATGAAAGCAAAACATATTAAAATGGAGGGGGGTGCAGAGGGACAGGACAGTGGAGAAGGTGCTTGCTT